AATGTGACTATTAATGATTCTAGCATATGGAAAGATTGTTTAGTTTTGAGGTGACGAAAAACATGCGTCTTCAATGTCTTGATGATAAAGATGAATGTGAGGAGCTAACTCAGTTTGTCGATTGGACAGAAACTTCAGAGATGGGACTATAGGGGGTTAAAATGTTGGTTGTGTCGCGATAGACATACCTGAAGTTATATTGATTGAACCCTATGACGGTCCGATTGCATAAATTGTTGAATACACATATCCATGTTTAAGAAAGCAACTAATGATCTTAGTTATATGAAGGACAGAGTCATATTAACACTACCGTTAGAGATTGTTGAGTTTATTAATCAGTACATAACGTCGTTGAATTTGGGTGAAGGACATACTTCTTTGAGTTCTAACAGTATGTGCACATCATATTGTCAGAACGACTTTTTAATTTTATCTGATCTACACAGTTCTTGAATTCTATCAAATGTTCTGGAGTGTCGAATCATGAGTTGCATTTGAAGATAGAAACTCCAATCATGTTGTTGGAAACATGGATATATCCATGTGATTGTGCAACGTGACGCGATTGGTTGTTAAAAAGCTCTCCACTCAAGTGTTAGAATGTAAAATTCTCGCTACAGATAATTTAGGTGAAAATGTGTTGGTTCTGCGTATGACGCTAACTCCTTATGATGTTATACTACTTTTCAAATTCTAGCGAAGATAGTTCTCATTAATGGTTTCTTATGACATGATGATAACCAAGAGTCAAGGTCAATCTTTATCGCAAGTTGGTCTGTTCTTGAAGAAATCGGTATTTAGACAAGGTCAGCTGTATGTAGTTGTTTCACGTGTTACGAATCGTAAGGGTTTCACATTTAAAATTGTGATGATGACGATGTATCAAAAATCAAACAAATAATATTGTGTATAAGGAGGTATTCAATAATATATAGTTAAACATTTTGTTTTATTTGAATACATCTATTTTATGTTATGACCAATCATCCAAGTATCCAAATTTATATGCTTCCTTTAATCATACTAGATCGTGCATCGCACGTGATACCGCACTAGTTTATATTTATATTAACTACTAGTATTTCTAGATTGGTAAACCAAGCCCTCCCACTTTCCTCACACTGAAACAACACGGTAAAACTACTAATCAACAATTGATAATCGCCATGCAAAATTACACTCTTTACATCCTTAATTTTAGCACTCTCACAAATCACAAAGACCACAAATAGAGTGAAAGGCCAATAATCTACACACATAATTAATAATATTATAAATATTAATAGTAATATTATTATAAATATACACATTCCCGATTCCCTCACACATTCCACATCATTGAAAATAATAATAATAATAAATTTACAATAACAAAATAAATAAACCTATACATATTCATTCCATTCACACTTTTTCTCCTTTTTTTTTTTCTTTTC